TTACTTCCTGTTTATCTTTCTTAATAATAGCACACTGCATTAGTGCATTACATTATGTGGGCAACGTCGAATTAACACAATTGCTCCCTTTATTAGTATAATTTTCAGTTAAATAAGCTCATTTACAGAATTACTGCTTCTTTTTAAATGACGGAGAGAATTTCCTCCCGTATCGTAATTTGGTAGCCAGATGTTATGAAGGATCTCTGGAAAATTAGTTCGCAGAGTGAAGTGCACGCGATGTTTTCCCAATTTTTTACAGGATTTAATTAAGGTAACTGATTGAGTTCCGAGAATAGACACTTGAACCAATCTTTATAACTGAAGCTCTTACATATAGTGAACGTCAGCCTTATTTACCGAGAATTAAAAGCAGACCTGGGGAGTGGGGTATTCTACTTCATTATTTAATAAAGCAGAGAACCAAACCACCAGCATTTCCTTTACAAAACTTCATTCGACAGGTCATCCTCTAAAATGAATAATGTAAGGGCATTTTCACAAAACATACCATCTACACTATAATCTCACTCAGGTTTGGGGCCTAATGAAAAATAACCCTTTAACGGATTTGAATCAGATTGACATCAACTGAATGCATATCCAAGTACCGAAGGTTCCACATTATTGAGTGCATACATAGTTACCTACTTACGGACGTGAACGATTTTTTTGGGATTTCGCCTTACAGCAAACTTCATTACATAACCCACCCAACTTGTCAATTAATCATGCATTTTGAATGTTATTTTGGAAATTTTTGTTGCTGATAGAGATGATTTCGTAACCTAGTAATCCCGAAAAGAAAGATTGCAGAGATTTAGTTACACTACTATCTTCAATGTATTGTTTAATGATTTATTTACTGTGCTTAGTTCCATTTAGTTGAAAGCGCGGATTCTGGCAGTACCTATTAACAAATTAACATGTAAGTTAGCAGCCATTGTTCACACGCGTTTTTATCTAAGTTTAATTTGTTTCTAGGAAATCTTTTTAATAGTAGGTACATAAAGGAACAGACAAGTTAAACCTCGCTGCTGTATTATTTATTATTATTTAGTTTACAAATAACCCTCTTAGTGCAATAGAGGTAGGTGGGTTCGACGTGATAATGAGGTATCACAAATGGTTTGTCCTTCGGGTTCTTTATTGGGTTTATTTTCTCTGCTACACATCCGGAGTTCAAACTACTTTTCATTTCGGGATGCAAGCGGACGAGGCCGTGTCATATTTCAATTACCGAGTCATTATCTCGGAGATACCGGGTTGCTAATCTGATTTCAGCTTGTTTCCCTCTGTTCCTCACAAGCTCAAATCTCGATAGTAATTTTCATTATTTACTAGGGGTAGTAGTGTTAGGTGTTATTAATGCCGTTACTTTAAACCGTTCTTGATAACATCACTTCGTGTAAACAGCCGGTGGTAATCGTTCTTAATAAAGCCGATGTTGTTAAAACCTGTGTTATTTTTTAGCGCATTTTTGGAAATAAAGATGTAGCTTTTAATCTCACTTTGGCCGACTGGCTGAGTGGCTGGCTGGCTGGCAGCAAATCAGGGCCCGTAGAAGAACGTTTGTAGAAAGACGAGGAGTGGACGTGAACGCAACTAGGTCGTGTGATTAACAACTTCCGTATCTTACGTGTATTACACTAAACAAGACGCTCCATTAGGTTGTAATTGTCACTTTGTTCAATTAAAATTGCTATCAACTAAATTGGGTTCATTGCCGTGCTAATAACTATTTCGCGTTTCGAAGATTTATTTGAACTGTTGTACTGCCATTCCACTGTAGTTTACTATCGTGAAAATTAATACAGACAACGTAAAGGGACGTACGTCGCTCCAATTATTTATCAACGATAAATAAATGTAACAAGTAATTTGTAATTAAAGATCTTATTTTTTTTGTTCGTGTAAAAATTACCTACGGCCGGTATTAAACTAGTGACAGTAGTTTTTCTTTCATATTTTTGTCTTGAAATTGGATGTTATTCAAAAATTCAAATCCTCTGCACAAATTCAAATTCTTCGCTTTTTGTTTGGAAAAACTTGATATTTTTCACAAAAACAAAAACATCGATCACAAATACCCTGTATATAACAATCATTACACCTTGTATATTTAAATTTCACCATGTATACATCTTTCGCAATTCCCTATACCTTTATTTTCGAATTTAGGTACTACTGAAATTCCAAAATTCAAATCTCTCACACAAATTCAAACTTAAATTTACCGTAACAAAATGGCAGACATCCAGAAATTCAAAAATTCAAATCTCCCACATAGTTTGGCAGATTTCAGTAAAAATTGCGCATTTGATGAAGAAAGCACGAAAGTCACAGGTATTGGTCAGGGTATAGTCCTGATGATTTTATGATCGGGAGGCCTACAAAAAGTTATCAAAAAACAAAATGGCGGCCATTCAAAGTTTAGGCCTTACTTAATATGGGGAGTGCTTTATTCTGCAGCAACTATGAGTTTTTATGGAAACATGCTTCTGATCTTTTTTATAGCTCTTAAAAATACCTTTACAGCGATAGATTACACGACTACTTCCTACTTCCGGTTACCGAAAGTGACGTCAAAATCCGATAGTTGTATGGATTGCAAACTTGTGAATTTTTTTAATGGCTCGGGAGTATATTTTCGATGTAAATTCAAACCTCAAAACACGCCAACGAACTTTCCTGGACCGAAACGGGCCCGAGAGAACTTTTGCCGGCTTACACTAATATAAAATAATAATAATAATAATAATATAATAATAATAATAATAATAATAATAATAATAATAATAACACCATAAATACAAGTAACGCAACTTGCACTACAAAGACAGGTCCACCCAATAAAGTTACACGTCCTAGCACAGTTAAAAAACACAAAACTCCTTCTTCACATAAACACACCACATAAACACACCACGTTATCACAACCCCCTCGTATTCAACCGAAACGCGAAAACCTTACACAACTACTGTAATATCTCCACCAAAACAAGCACCACCACAAATACAACCTCAAGGAACAAAGAAACAACCAATAAATCACAAGTAACGCAAAACATGCACTAACAAAGCAGGTCCACCAATAAAGTTTACACGTCCCTTAGCACATTAAAAAAAGCACATACACTCCTTCTTCTCAGAAACAACCCACTCGTATACAACCAAACGCAAAAACCTTGACAGCCACTACTAGCTCACAAAATACTGCATTCTCCACCAAAAAACCTCAAGCAAACCACACAAATACAACCTCAAGAGAACAAAGAAACACAATACAAGTAACGCAACTTGCAACTACAAGACAGGTCCACCCAATAAAGTTACAACCGTCCTAGCACAACTTAAAAAAACACAAAACTCTTCTTCACATAAACACATATCACCACGTTATACAACCCACTTCGATTCAACCGAAACCGAAAAACCTTAACAGAACTACACAGCTTCACACATACTGTAATATTCCAATCTCAAAAACCCAAGCAACCACAACAAATACAACCTCAAGAACAAAGAACACCAATAAATTATCAGGTAACGCAACATGCACTACAAGACAGGTCAACACATAAGTTACACGTCTATCACAGTTAAAAAACGCAATAGCTCTTCTTCTCAGAAACACCACTCGTATACAACCAAACGCAAAAACTTGACAGCAACTACTAGCTCAAAATACTGCAATCATCTCCACCAACAAACCAAGCCACCACAACAATACAACTCAAGAACAGAAGAAACACCAACAAATAAGTACAGCAACTTGCACTACAAAAAGACAGGTCCACCCAATAAAGTTACACGTCTAGCACAATTAAAAACACAACCTCCTTCTTCCACATAAACACACCACATTATCACAACCAACTCGGATTCAACCGAAACGCGAAAACCTTAACAGAACTACACGCTCACAACATACTGTAATATCTCCACCAAAAACCCAAGCAACCACACAAATACAACCTCAAGAACAAAGAAACACCACAAATACAAGTAACGCAACTTGCACTACAAAGACAGGTCTACCCAATAAAGTTACACGTCCTAGCACACTTAAAAAACACATAACTCCTTCTTCACAGAAACACACCACATTGTCACAACCCACTCGTATACAACCGAAGCGCAAAAACCTTAACAACACCACAGGCTCACAAAATACTGCAATATCTCCACCAAAAACCCAAACAACCTCACAAATACGACCTCAGGAACAAAGAAACACCATAAATACAATTAAAAAACACAAAACTCCTTCTTCACATAAACACACCACGTTATCACAACCCACTCGTATTCAACCCAAACGCAAAGCCAAAGAAACACTTACACAATAAAGTCTATTTAATAAAATTACAGGAATTATTATAATGATATTTTTGTTTTGTTTTCTTCTTTCCTGATAGCGTTGACTATTGTGGCCATTAATAGCTATGTTGGTAAGTATGAATTACATACTATCTCTAGATTTCCAATGTGAGTGTGTGAATATTTATTTTATTTTTTATTTTTCTTTAGAATCCTACATAACTTCACCAGACACAGACACAGACACTAATCGTTACTTGATTTTAATCCGTGCGATTAGTTAACCAGGCTAGACCTGAGTTCTCACAAGAAACACCGACAATAATAATAATATAAATGATACAACATATACTACATTCAGAGATTCACCTCTGAAGCAAACCACATTATCACGACCCATTAGTATTCAACCCAAACGCAAAAGCCTAAACAGCACTTTAGACTCACAACATGACACACAACATACTGTAATATCTCCACCCTTAACTCAACCAACCACACAAACACAACTTCCAATGATTTCATAGGCAATAAGATGGTAACCAAAAATTGTTATGCATTTATAAAAATTCCTTGATTTATGATACTGGTGATTGCGATTTCAGAAAAAAAATAGTATGTATGGGTAAAGCACATTCCCGAATTCCAATGTTTGCTGGCTTAAATCTTGAAGCAAACTAGTCCGGACGGAACCGGCCCGGAACGGACGGCAGATCGGGCCATTCTGCGCCGATTCCGTCAGGATAAGTGTGCGCATGGTACACAGCTACGGAATTTTTGCCGTCCGGTCTGGTCCGATTCCGTCCGCGCTTCACGCTTAAGATTGTTGTCTGGGAACGTATTGCTTCTATCACTAGAAACACATTCTACTTTTCCGGCTACCATTTGTCACTTTCCCGGATAGCATGCCATTCAAAGAATCCATTTAGTATGTCCGTCTAGTATGAACCAAGTAATAACAATAACAACAAGACTATTTGGAAATATAGACTGAGTGTATTTAAGTTCACTATCGGACAGTGATAATTTTATTACGTCGGATGAAGTAGGTAATGAAACTGACAAATTTAATAGACGGCCCGTGTGGCGCAGTTCAGTTGAAGCTGGACTGCGGTACTAAGGGTCTCTGGTTGGAATCCTGTTTCGGGAATGGATGTTTGTAAATGTGTAGTGAGTTGGGTTGGCAGCGCAGCCTTGAGTGAAACCCCGCCCACTGAAAAATAAAGGCAAAAATAAATAAATATATAAATAATAAAGTTTTACTTAAAAGTCAGGAAAATGTGAGTACGAGGCCCCTTCGGGGCTGAGCCGGCTGAGCACTTTAATTTCCGAGTCAAGTAGTGCCATTTTACTGACGAGTTTCGAATTAGATTTTACCCGAAATCGTATTTTAATATAAAATTACAATTTTCGTGTAGAACTTTTAATTAATGTCAATCTGTCAGTGATGACAGGAGTCATTATAGACATTTAGCAATGTCACAGGTGCAGCCGGTAAAGTGTCGGTGCAGGTAGTAACGTGACAAGTGGCAGGAAACGGAGTCTGCTCTGCCTCTGTCATTGAAACTAAAATTTTCTGACAGAAAGTAGGCATGAAAATAGTTTCATGGCGATTTTGGGCAAACAAACTTGTCATGTTATTTTGCGCAGGTCACATGTACCATATATCCCTTAAAATGAGTAAAATAGTTTACAAACCTCGCTGTTCCGTGGTTCATAACCAACGCTTAGGGCTTATAAAGTCCTGGGCGTAGGTAATGAACCACTTCCATCTCGGTATGACTAATACTATAACATATAACTCAAAATCCACGACCAAAAAAAATAAAAAGGAACTTAGCTTCTCTTTCGCTTTGCATTATTATATCCGTCTACCAATTTTAAAGTTTGCACTTTGCTACAACGTAAGAGTTTCCACAACCTCCCTCGGGACCTATTCAATGATAATGGTCATCTTGTTCGCCTATCAGATGGGTAATATAATAATAAATGGGATCTGAAATAGCCGTTCGCGTTCTTAGTAGAGAGCCATTCGTAGTCTGCTAAACGCTATACCTCTTCTATATGGAAATAGATTAAACCACTCGATTTGCTGGATTCAGTTCTGTTTACAAAGTAGGTTAACAGGCAGAATTTTTTTCTCCAAATTTCACATGCGACATCACTTCTAATAAATTGGATCTCCTTTGATAAAAAAAACTTCGAACTTTTGTAAGTGTTCTTCAGAAAAATAAGTTTCCAACTTTTGAATGATGTTTAATTTTTAACGAGATTATACTTGCAAGTAACAAACTGGAAACATTTTCCTTTTGTAGGCGCAGCTGAACCGTTATCTCTTGAATACTTATAAAAAGATTAACGAGATACGAGGGAAATGAAAGCGATGAAGACGCCGTCATTGAATTTAGATTTGCGCCTTAACGGGTTGTGCTATTGATTGATTGTATTGTTTAAGAACAACTTGAAAGAAAATCCCAAGGGGAAAGCACTTGTAGCGTTATGCGTATAGAGAAAGCGGGTTTTCTTTTATAGGAATTCCATTAAATCGGTGCGATCAGGAGGATTAATTTTTTTAAGTTTCTTGTCAAATTGACCCAGTTTCCTTTGTTGTAGTTTAATTTATTTGTTTTATTTTTCACTTTACTTGCCATTAAATTGAATTCCATCAATACTATCACATATTCCCAAGTATCACGTAATATGGAAGCAATAATGGCTATAGACTGGCGCAACATTGATTTTATATTGTATACTTTGTTTCACTGGTGCTGAACCTGACGTCATAAATGTGATTCTCTCTTCATTACATTTAAATCGATTGAGACAAAAAAATTACGTCATTAACGTAAGTCGTGACAAATAAACCAATTATTGATCTGTCAATAATATCAATCCGTCAAACGATTTTCGTTATAGACAGATTTCCAGTGTTAAATGCCTTTTGATTAGGTAGTTTGTGTTAAAAGTGAAGTAAATATCATCAAAGTTGAAAACGCTTAGGCAAGTCCACAGTGCAGCAACGCCGTTAACAGACAAGTATTTTAAAAATTTTACATAAAGGTTCGATTCGCTCATATCATGAATTTAGGTCATTACCGTTACAATTAGGTAAATATGACGAACCGATACACAGAAGGTGAGCAAAGTTTGATTTTGAAGTTGATTCAGTACTTCCAAGGGGAAAAAGAAGCAGGCAAAACTTTAACACCCGTAAGCGCAGTATATGATGTAAGTGTTTCCTATGCGTTTGCTATAATCATATGCTTACTTAATCACAGAGGGTTTGTGCTGCCCTGGGTGTATCGTTGTGGACTGTAAAAAGAATTAGTACAAGAGGTGTTAAAAAAGATGACGATTACAAATCGCAAAAAAGTGTGGCTATTAGTTTATCTCACGGACCTCCGCTGCATGAAATACATGAACATGTAATAAGGACACGGATTTATGCAATGTATGCGACAGGTAAATAACATTCTTTATGTTCTAAGGGAAGATTTGCTTCAAATGAAGACGTTCGCGAGAACACTTATGGAATTGATTTTATAGGTGAGAATGTTACACTCCGTTCTTTACACAGTAATCTTCAACGACTTGATGGCGTAGAAATATCTGCTACCTCTTTATCCCGCAGTTTGAAGAAACTGAAATTCACGTGGCGGAGTCAGAGCTGTCACTTTTAATAAGATTTAAATCTTTTTTATGATTTAAATACTTTTTTCGATTTAAATCATTTGATCTTAAATCTTTTTACCGAAAATGATTTTTGATTTAAGATTTAAATCTTCATGAAAACTATCTTTGATTTTGAACTTAAAAAATGATTTAAATCTTTTAAAAAGATTTAAATACTTTCGAAAAGATTTAAATCGTTTCCGAGTGATTTAAATCTTTTAGAGACGATTTAATTAATACATACTAACAAATCCTCTTGATTTGTTTCAACCTGACTAAGCTAATTACCCCGGGTTTTATTTCGGTAGACGTTTATATGTATTTATTACAAAATCGAGTATACTGAGATTGACGATGTCTTGGTTTTTTAAAATTTCTTTCGCAAAAAAATAGGTACATATTTTAATTTAATAAATAATAACAATAAAATACGGTAGAAATGGTAGGTATATTGATGAATGATGTTGAGGGTTTCGAGCAAGATCATCAGACCAATCAGGTTTATTGAATTTAAATCCTTTACAAACCTTTTGTCACAAAACGATTAAATCATCGGAAAAGATTTAAATCATTACATCATTACATGATTTAAATCTTTATACGTGATTTAAATTAACAAAATTAGATTTAAACCTTTTTGAATGAATTAAATACATTGAAAGTATCTTAAATACTTTCTAAAAAGATTTAAATCACAAAAAATATTTAAATCTCAAAATGATTTATTATCTAAATACTTTCTTATTGACAAAAGTATCTTTGATTTAAATCATTTGTTAAAATGAAATGCATCTTTGATCTTTGATTTAAATCGTTTTTTAAACGATTTGTGACAGCTCTGGCGGAGATGCACCGTTTCTAATAGATTATTTTTAATGGAACAGCTCTATGTAGCTCAAAGAAGACTACAATTTTTGAGAGACTTTAAACACAACGAAACTTCACTCTTTCCATTACGACCTGTGGTTTTAGACGAAACCTGGATATACAGTAGAGGGTCTTTTAGAAGAAGCTGGCAAGATGGTACTCTCAAAACAGTTAGAAAAAAAAGTGGTGAAGGGGTCCGGTATATAATACTCCATGCAGGATCAGAAGATGGATTTGTACCAAACGCAAGTCTAATTTTTAAATCTGGTAGCAAGTCCGGAGACTATCATGACTCCATGAATTGCCTTAACTTTGAGAAGTGGTTTGAACAACAATTGATCCCGAACTTGGATGAACCTTCTCTTATAATTATGGACAACGCTTCTTACCATTCAGGATTGGTAGAAAAAATCCAATCAATGCTGGACAAAAATGTCACTTATAAAGTGACTAACATCACGAGACATTACATTTGCACCAACAATGATGCAAGATCAGATCTGGGAAGTAGTGAAAAATCATATACCACCAAAACTATTTAGGTAGGCATCGCTGATAATTAAATGTTTGGTTGCAGTTAGGTAGACCTTTGGATAGGAAGCTGATTGTTATGGTTTTTTTTCACTCCATGTTGATTTTTACAGATTGAACGAATTAGCATTACAACATGGTCATCGTGTTTTGAGACTTCCTCCATATCACTGCGAGTATAATCCAATCGAAATGGTATATGGTCAGAATGCAAACGGCATTACGATGCAAGGATCGGTTCAATTCAGCCTGTCACACACAGTGCCGTTTTGTCTTTATGGAATGAGGCACTGCACAAAGTAACCTCTTTATATGCTGTTTTGTGAAACAGTAGTACTTAATAACTTTATTGTTTAGGTTACACCGGAAAAATGGAAAAGATATTTTGATCATACAAGAGGCATTATAAACCAGGCCTGGGAACGGGAACAACATATTGATACATCAGACATCTTACTTGGACGAATCTGATAGTGACGAAGATTATTATGATGATTATATTCATGAGGCAGAAGAGAATGAGCCTGTTTAAGAATATTATTTTGGGCCGTTTATACATATATACCTACTTGTGGTGTAGTGTCGTTTTTTCTTTTGTACATACGATTTGAATATGAACATTTGAGAGTTTTTTCACTTATAATTGCACAAGAGGTTTGTATTTTACCGAGTAAATTTGGGTTGTTTAGGTAATGAAAATCTGTTGCCTAGCAATTAGACGAGAAAAACTGTCAACTAATAAAAATGCGACACCGCAGGTGGAGCATTTTTAGGTTGACAGTTTTTCGAGTCTAATTGCTAAAAGGAAACAGATTTGAATTGCCACAACCCAAATTTATACAAACCTCGAGTGTAATTCGGCAGGACAATTTAACGAACAAGAAATTCACCAATCTAATCAATTATTGACAGACGTCAAACTAGTCATATGGGTAAGGATAATGCGATTATTGGTTCGAAAATGAATAAGTGAAAAAACCACTAGTGCATTTGTCGCTGGAAAAGTTGCAGGTAACTTTTGCCGCTGTCAAAGTGACAATTACACTGCGGCTTATGCGATTTTTTATACATGAGTTGAATTGTCAGGAATAAATATCTTCACTACCTGTTTTCCCTCACAATTGCGTTTTTTTTTAAATAAAT